TAAAATGTATTTTACAAAATAGAATGCTCAACGTTCTTAGAAGAATAAAGCAATAATAAAATAGTAAAAATATCAAATTTTTATTTTCATTTAGAACTGTTTCATCAATAAAGACTCATCAAAAAGAAAGAAAAAAAATTTTTTTTTTTTTTTGTAATTTTCACAAGGACACAATTCTATTAATAAAACAAAAAAATGTTTCTTATAAAATAAAATCTTACGCGCTTATGAAACTAAATATAGGAGTAGTTAATAAAAAAACATAATTTTTGCAAATTTTATTTATTATACCTAATAATTTAATAATATACTCAATAATTTAAATAATATGCTTCCCCGTTATTATAGTAATATAATAATAATGGAGAAGTATGTAACAGTATTGGGGTAATTCTACAAATATTTTTTATTCAAAAAATTTTTAAATCTAGCATTATATTTTTATAAAAAGCACATTTAGAAGGCAATTTTTAATAACTGTTATTTTTTGATGCACCCTAATATATATTAGGTACGTGTGTAAAAATTTCAAACCATTTATTTATATAATTATTATAAATGATTAAAAAGACCTTTAAATTTGTATTAAAAAGGTGAAAATTCCAAGAAAAAATAATAATTCAACAAAAAGTTATGCCCATTTAAGTAACAATATTTTCTTATATGGATTGCTTAAAGAAAATGGATCCAGCTTAAAAACTTGCGCTCGGTTAACGGTATTTTTGTTAGAACTTTATTTTTAATTTGCGCATGATTTTGCTTCGTTTAAATTTTCTTAAAGAAAACGCTTTTTTTTTCTTAAAGAAGACGCGATATTTGAAAGAATTTTTTATTTTATGAAAAAGGAACTTCTACTGCGCGGAAAGATAGGGTACGTGGGCATTAATATTTTTTAATGAAATTTAGCGGGCACATAGAAAATAGATATATACAGTTGCCTAGAAAATTTTAAAAGTGTACCAACATGCTTTCAATGTTTCCCTCTCATCGGAGCAGAAACAAAATTTTAAAATCAAGCCAAAATAACTGGTAACAGTAAAAATACAACATAATTTATATCAAGAAGTAACAGTAACAGTAACTGTTTAATAAAATATAACAGTATCAGTAACAGTAAAAGTGCTGGAAATGGTATCTCCACTAGTTGGAAAAATATGGTATCTGGGCATGTTTTTTTTTCACTTTAAATTTGGCAGGCACATAGAAAATTGATTTATACAGTTGACAGGAAAGTTTTAAAAGTGTACCAACATCCCTTCAATACCAATGCACTTCCAGAAAAACAACACCATTTCAAATAGCAATAAAAACACTGAAAAAAATATTAACTGTAAAAAAAAGACCTAATTTATTCAACATATAACATTCTACTTTTTTAATAAATTCTAAGCTGATATAAAATTCTAAAAAAAAAGATAAATAAATACATCCTTACCACACCTACTTCAAGAAAACTGTGAAAAACGCGGTTCCAGTTTTTTACTGACAAATCGGTGCCGTAAAAAGCCAGATACGCACGTACCTATATATATATATATATATATATATATATATATATATATATATATATATATATATATATATATATATATATATATATATATATATATATATATATATATATATATATATATATATATATATATATATATATATATATATATATATATATATATACATATACATATATTTAAGATATTATAGAATTAATGTATGACATCCATTAACGTTATTAATTCAAAATTAAGGTATTCTGATTGTAGGCATTTACATTAAACATATTTAAACAGCCATCGTAACTTTTAATATCATAACTTTAGATGTAACCAATGTTATTTCTTATCAATCTAAAATTTGAGCCTCAATCTTATTATAGTATCTTTATAGAGAGATCTAATTAAACAAATAATGAATATAAAGAAGGACAAGAAAACTTCAGACTTTGATATTTATTTGTGCGTGTGTGTGTCGGGAGAACACTTCTTTACTGTTTGCTTATACTTTGTGCTTTAGCGTGACAAAGTGTGATAAAATATCACGTCCGCCTAAAATGCGTCACTGGAATGGGATAAAACATTATTTTTGGCAAATAAGATTTATTTAACTAAGGTAAAACTTCTGTAAAAAAAAAAAAAAAAAAGTAATTAATCATATTCTCTTTAGTTGAAGCAACAGGCAAAGAAATAACCAAAGAAAAAAAAATTTGAAAACATTTACAGATTTTGTTCAATGTTATGGGGCCATCCATAAAGGACGTCATCCAAATAGGGGGGAGGGGGTCGAGTTAAAAAGGACAAAAAAGGACAAGGGGAGGGGGAGGTTGTCAGAAAAGGACGTCACTTTATAGATTTTTTATTTTAGTTTAATTAACATGGAAAACTACGTAAACATGTGTTTTTAAGAAGATAATGTATGAGAATATTTTTAATTTTATTTTTCAAAGGTGTGGCAGCAGATTCAAACATCATTGCGAGATTAAATAAATTTTTTTGGAGTTAAAAATAGGGGGAGGGGGTTCAGGATTTTATGACGTCCTTTTCAAGGGGGGTATAGGGAAAAAGGACAACCGGTGACAAAGGGAGGGGGGAGGGGGTCAAAAATTGGCCAAAAAATTGGTCAAAAAATGGTGACGTCCTTTATGGATGGCCCCTATACGCAAATTCAATGTTACCAAGAATGGACTGTATATTAAAAACGCACCGAGATTCATAAAAACGTTTATTAATAATGTACTCTATATGAAGTTGGCGATATATACAGAGATAACACAATGGCGGTATGTTATTCTAGATACCAAATACTAATAGTTAGCAATATTGTGTAAATTACTTTAGGGGATGTAAAATTCTAGTAGCCTAAATAAAAGACATGTGGTATTTTAAGTAGTGTTGTTATCGACATTGACTAAATCAACTAAAAGTTAATTAGTCAAAAGTGGAAATAATTGACTTCGAAAAATCGAATAGTCAATATAATTAACTATGGATTTCATACTAATTGACCAAATGTCGATTTAGTCGATTAATATCTTATCTTAAAATCTATAAATCCAATTACCTTTTTTAATCTTTAATTTTTTTTTTCAATTAATTACAATAATTATTAATAACAATAATTATTAATAACAATAGCATGTGCTTTTGCAATTTTTACAAGGATTTTCTTTTTCTTAAAGTTGTATCTAATTCATTGCATGTTATTAATTTTTCAAACCTAATTAAACTTTCGGTTATGCATTTTAATAATTTATTTATTTATTTTTTTGGCAATTTGGCAAAATTTAATTCTGAAGCTCTAAAATCTATATGTAATTTATATAATCCCATGGCAAACATGGTTGCATAGACTTTTTGATATTTAGCAAGTATTTAAGACCAATAATTAAAATCTTAATCATTGAGGTTGAGAATAAACTGTTTTTCATTATAGTGATCCTACTCTCATATTGTTTTTTGTATTAATATTTGAATGATCTTAGAAAAAAAAAAGTGAATAAAAATTACTCTATTACTTTCATCACAAATTTCATAAAAAGAATTTTTTCCTATATTTTGACTAAATTGAATTTAATCGCCTTGTTCGATTTCAATAATGTAAAAGTTGATTTTAGTCGACTTTATAAAATATATTTGTTGGTTTAGTTGACATTCAAATTATTTAAAAGTTATAACAACACTAATTAAAGTAAGTAATCTCTATGTATAATGCACAATTTCTTATTGCATTATAATATAATTTATATTATTATATAATATAATATATAGTTTATATAAAGGGGGATGTTGGGGATGATGGGGATGTCATATTCTAGGTGCTAAGTACTAATAGTTTGCAATATTTTATAAATTACTTAAATGGATGTAATATTCTATAAGCTTGTATAATTTCTATCATTATTGTTCAATACCATTATCATACATCTCATATTATATGATTATCTAGAGGTGGGGTGATGATTCAGACGCAACTTTAGTAATTTACTAGAGGGAGGTGATAATTCAGCTGCAATTTAGTGATTTACAAGGTGGGAAGTCATAGTTTAGATAGAAGACACAGACAATTTTAGTGATTTACTAGAGGGAAGCTATAATTCTAGCGCAGGTTTAGTGATTTACTAGGGGGGAGGTGATAACTCAGACAATTATAAAGAAATGTTCAGAGCATTTTCAAGTAAAAAAATGGCTAATTAATTTACAGATGCATAATTTTTATCATTATTACAATCGTACCATTATCGTAATGCCTCATATTCTTTTTTTTTTCTTAAAAAAAATAAAAAAAAAAAAAAAAAAAAAATGAGAACACCGAGAACCGTTTCACACTACAATAATAATAAACCAATTACTTCAAAAAAATATAAAATTAAAAGTAAATACCGTTTAAGAAAACCTACATACAAATAAGATAAGGTATCTCAGTTGTAAAACACCGTTTAATAAAACAATATAAAATTAAATCAAATATTTTAAATTACATTTAGATTTAATACTTATAAAAGAGAAACGAGATCAGAAGAACTCGAAAATATTATCTATTGAGAATATAACTTTTTTCAGTTTGTTTTTGAAAGTAAATAAATTCCAACATTGGAAAAAGTCAAAATTTTTAAAATTTATTTGGTTCCACAAAAAAGCTCCGCGATAAGATATGAGACCTTTCAAAATTTGTATGCAAATAATGTTGATAAATAAAATTTCTTAGATCATATTTGAATTGCTAACTTGAAAAAGGGGACATGTTAAGTGAATTTTTGCAGGACTTTTTTCAAATTTAACGATTCATTTGTAATTGGGCTTTATTGCATATAAATTTTGAAAAGATATAGGAGTTAAGTTTATCTTACATTTATATATAAAGAAAAAAACGTTAAAAACATTTAATTGGTATATATTAAAAATACTCCTTTTCGAATAAAAGTGGTATGACCCAGCTAGTACACTTACATTTACAACGTATGTAAAACCATCGCGAACGTCGGCTCTTTTTTCCAATGCAAAACC